TGAACATACAATGCAGTTTAATATATCAAAATCTTAATCATAGTCTTGTTTATCGTTCAAATTGTTTAGAACGATGACAGATAAAACCTGGTTGTGTGCGCCCAAATAGATAAACTAGTGTGGAAATTAATGTCTACATTTACTGGTGCATGAAGTTCGTAGTTAATTATAGGGTTAGGGCTATACTACTTTTTTATATTCGTATTAGTACTACAAAGGGTAACCACTATCACTTTTAAAGGAAATGTGTCTCCTTATTTGAAACATATTGCGAGGCGTATCAAAGCATTTATCATTATTTAAAAGGGCGGCTAATCTATGAGCCATAAAATTATATGCGTGTCTTAACGTTTTTTAGGGCGAGTAGAATCAATAACAAACTAAAGAGATACCTGTATTAGGATGTGAAACAAATTTTATCTCTAATTTATCGTCATAAATATCCCCTGGCTAGAGTGAATAAAATATAATTATACATATTATTATTAATAACACAATTACAGCATAACTTTGCTGATTTTTTTTTTTTCAGAAATATATAGATACTATATAAAGTTCAAAAAAGTTTAAAGTGTACATGATTATTAAAAGAACTGAAGAGTGGACCGATATTCTATACTTTTTTAAAAATGTAAAAGAAATGTATTTTAGAAGAAATTAAAATCAGATCAGGCAAATATAACGAAATATCGAGTTATGAAGATATTAACAGCGACGTCAGTTTGTAACTAAATTAATATTCATCAGCTAAACGCCACCGTAACTGATGCGATCTAAAAACAACACTGTTATGAATTACTAATTTTATAACGCCCACCGTTTAACTTAATTATGCTATATTCGTTTATAACTTGTACGTTAAGCGTTTTCACGCGTTACTACAAGTAGATTTACATTTTACAACATTTGTTTTAGCTAAAAGTCTTATTAGCTTCGACACCAACACGTTATTTTCACACATAATTCTAGTAACGAAGAACCTTTTAAAAATATGGTACTCCGTACTTGTACTTTTAACGAATTGTAAAAACCTACTTACTTTGTACCTAATGAGTATCTACCAATATAAAGATATTTATGTTGTTTAAAATAGAAACTTTCAAAACTTATACAGTTATGTAATTGATACACTGTATATGATACAATGATTTCCCCTTGACTGCACAACCCTCGGTGGCGTGTTTAACACTACAGCGATTTTTTAATGTTGCCAGTTTTCAATTAATGAATGAATATTGGGGTGGAGCTTTGACTTGTTTATTCGGTAAGCAGGCATTACAAATATCATCGATGGCGTCATCGATGAGGAAAGGTGTTGTGCATAGTCGGTTTGGTCGGAATGATCGATAAGTAGTAGGCATTTATTATCTGTTGCTTGGTTCAACTTTTTCACACATTCCACGGAGGCGATGCAGCGCAAAGAGGGGGGGCTGGCACCCGGCGCGAGGCGCTCGCGCGTGAAATTATTATCATATAATACCCCGGGCTTTGAGCACAGCGCGATTATTCAAATGCTCATAGCCCCACGCCGGCGCATTCGGCTTACAGCCGCCTTTCGCGTTGACATTCCTGAATACTTCGCGCTGGCGGAGACTCAACGCTACTTCAAAAAAATTTCAAAACATTCACATGTAATGCACAACTTTCGTTGAATACTCCTTATAGGCAAGATAAGACAATGACGGAGTAGTAGGAGCACTCATCAAATGTTCCTTAATCCCCGGAAAAAAGTAACGTAGTCTGAACGTGACAGTTGCTAATGTTGCATTATTAGGTTATCACGACGGATACCCCTGAACTACTCAAATCTAACCATCATACCCAAATTTATGATACCGAAAGTGACGGGGAGCAATTTGAGACGCTATTATATTGACGAGTAACTGTACGAATATCGACTCGAACATTAACAAGTCCATTTTTTTATTAACGAAAAACAAAACCGACATCAAATATCTCGCTCTGTATTAATTTTATAATTGATTTTTTAGAGTTCCCCAACTATCGCCGCAGCCCAAGATCCGATACCAATGAAATTAATCATAATGACGACCCGAACGGTGTAGTAGGTAGTGTACCTGCCTTCTGCGCCAGAGGGTGTGGGTTCGATCCCCACTACTGGAAAAGTATTGTGTGATGAGCATAGTGTTTTTCTAGTGTCTGGGTGTTTATATATGTATAATGTGTAGTTGTGTCACAAAAAAAAGTATGTTTAAGTATGTCTATCAGTTTTCTAGTACCCGTAGTACAAGCGTTGCTCAGTTTGGGACTAGAGAATGTTGTGTGAAAATATGTCCATAAATATTTATATTTATTTATTTATTTAATAATATAGGACCATATGGGAAACATCAGCTTTGAAATAAAAAAAGAATCATCAAAATCGGTTCACTCAGTGGAAAGTTTTGAAGTAACAAACATAAAAAAAATACAGTCGAATTGGGAACCTCTTCCCTTTTTGAAGTCGGTTGAAAATAAATCACACTGTAAATCATAACGAATAATAACAATTGCACAATTTAATGGGAACATTTGGCGTACTAACATTTTCTATTGAAGCCCAACGTTTATTACGTAGTGCTTTAATTCCAAATAAAGATGGAAATTAATAATGAAGTAAAAATATGTTAACGAGGAGTAAAAACTATCATAAAAGGCTACTACTACTAGCGAGCATGCTTGTTAACATAATAATTTACAGCGTTAGGACAACATTGTTTGAAGCCACATTTATAAATCTAATTATAAAGTGGAAACCCAATTATAAATAATGCCTAACTTAAATAAACTTGTTAAAGTGGACCCTCCCGCGTGACTCGGCCGAAACTTGGCAAGTGGAAGGCACCGAAACGTAAACTAAGCCTTATCTACGAGTATATTTTGCTTCGGACTCTTTATGAGTTTCAAACGGGATCCGTCACGCGACGTTAACTCGGTATTGAAGTGATAAAGTGCCCGCTAATCTGTCCTATTCGGGTCACACTTAGTACACTTTATTAATCACAAAGGTTACAAATTACAACATACTTCCTGCGGCGTGACACCTAAACTTGGTCGTATGTTAATTTTATTGTCGACGCTATTGGACAATTTGGACACGGTTACCGGGGTTGGATTTGATTCTTTATGATAAAAACGCGATTGTTTGTTCGGTCGTTTTAATCTTTTCTCTAGACTCTTTCTCTTTAAAGTATTAGGAAACTTTTTTTTCCCCCAACCATTAGTCTATGTTACATAGCATTTTGCCAACACTTACAAAAAAGACAAATATCCACACGGAAAAAAAGAAAAAAGTACAAAAAACAAAATATTTATCAAATATTGGTCATCAAAAGGCGACCTTGCTACACAGCAATTTCTTCCATGCAACCTCAAAAATTTACCAAAAGGAATTGTTAATAGGTAGGAAGTACATGAAAAGAAATAAAAAAAATTGCAGCAAAAATTAAAGTAATAAGAAAACTTACCTTTTGAGTGATCATCGAGTTAAGACTGAAATAAAAAGGGAAGGACAGAGACATAGAGAGATAGAGTGGAGCTAAACGAACAGATAATGATTCTTAACCTGTAAAAAAGTAAAAAAAAAAGTGTGTAAATGATCGTGATACGAACCGCGGCCGTCTGTTTTGGGGCCGCCCGATTACCGAGCGAGCTATTATAACATTTTTTTAGCGGCGAAATTTACTGTCATATTCGAATCATATTTGTCATTCCCTGAAAACGGGGATAGAAGGAAATTTTCTAAAAATGAAACCTAGCTAGATGATAATATATATATTATACAAGAATTGCTCGTTTAAAAGATAAGATATAGCGATAAAGTCCCACCAATCAAACATTTACTATAACATTTCTAAACAATTTCTATAAAAAATTAAATGTTCTAAGCCATCACTTTGTACTTTGGATAAAATATTGTGCCATATCTTTGTTTTAACGAATATGTTATCAGACAATTTTACAATGTCATTACATTACAAAAAAATGCAAACGGAATACCTTTCATATCACAAGCCATTAGTTATTTGAAGTCAAGTACTTTAATAGCAATGGAAAAATTCAGTAAGATAATGCTTAACCTCTGTGGTTGTAGAATTGGGTTTCCTTATTTTTTCAATACATTATAAAAACTATCGCCATGTTTACAGTTAGCATAAGCCCACGGTAGTAAAATAAATTTATGAAATTCTAATCCCAGCTAAAGTGCTCATTGCATAAGTTACTTAACATCGAAATGTCCATAAACAATAAAACAAATTACAAATATATATAGTACATAGTACAAATTGGTACAAATAGAGACTTAAATATACTTCAAAATTTATTCTTTTTATATCTATGTGAAATATATCATTGAACATATCTCATTTAAAATTATAAAAATAATTACATTTATAATGATAACATTATTCAACTGTTTTTTACTATCGCCTTTTTTATTTGGGACAATATAAAACATTTCTAATCATAAAGTCGGAAATAAGGACACCTTGAAGTGACCTTACTATGTCATGTAAGCGTTATGTAGTTCACTTATTATTCTTATCGCTACGACACTTTGTTTTACGTATTTATGCACAATTTTATACTTTTAATCGCAAAATTTACACTTTAAACGTGGGGTTCTCGACATGACGCCTTATGCAAAGCAGGTGCTACCTGATACGTGAGAATGCAGTTACAATACATAATGTAGTAAACGTCGAAAAAGAGCCACAGAATTATAATTCTTAGTGTCTTAGGGGAACAAAAACAAAAAATATGTAATTATAAAAAAAGTTAAGTGCAGAATTTTAAGTATAATTTTTAAACAATAGCGCTCGTGCAGTTACGTCTATTCAAATTTGAAATGAAACTTATCACCCAATAATCGCGTTACGCCATCATAAAACGGTCATACCGGGGTGGAGACTTACAGGCAGGTTAAAAATAAAAACGAAAATAAAACACGGTTAGGCGTACGTGGGTAGTACGAGTACTTATTAGTATTTGGAGATAAAATGAAGTTGGCCCGCTTTGGGCAATTTATTGGGGTAAGTTATGGGCGGCGCGCGGGCTGGAGCGGCTAATTTATTCGCCGTGCACATAAATTACTTGATTATGAATTCAAGTGAACTCCACTAAATTATTCGTCGCTTGTTTTAGCCCGTGCTTTTGTTGTAACAAACAAAGGTAATCGATTTAAATCATTCCTTCTTCAAGGCTCGTTTACTTGTATGAGTAATTTCCTACGTTAAGCATCGTACGCGTGCTATCATAATTATATCCGTATGAATGTTCCGTTAAAGTGTTAGTCAATGAAACTGAACTAATTGGTGCACAACGTGCGACAGTGTGACGCATTCACGGAATGAAAATGCTAGAGATAATGACAAGAGAGTGGGGAGCGAAAGGGGGGTGGTAATCTCATAAAAGGCAATAGTAGGGATTATGTAGAACACTGATGGTAATGTCGACTTGTTTTCCAGGCGGCACTAACGCGCGGCAAGCCGCTGCAGCGCGGAATAATCGCGGATACCCATAAAAGATGTAATTTCAGATAAGCTGAAACAGACGAGCCCCGCCCCCTTATGCCCACCCCACGTCTCCCTCTCCCTCGCTGCCTACTTTCTAATGACTAATTATTATGATGTGCGTTGCGAGCTTTAACAACAGCCACCCGCGCCTATAGGTACCTGCTAGTCGTGTCTTCCACTTTGCGGTAGGTCATCAATCCGCGCGAGCACTGCACTTCCCTTTGTTATTAGCCCTCCATTTGTAATGAATCTTTCTCGTTTTAAGTTTCAATTAATAAATTAAGTAAATAAAGTAAAAAAAATTATCTATGTCGAGGCCAGTTATTTTTGAACAAGGTTTTTCTTCCTTACTTGTCTAGTAATATTAACGTATTACGTACGTTATAATAAACAACGACTAAAAGCAGCTCTAAAATCACATAGGAATTCTTTGGAGGTATTTAATTCTCACACATACTTCTGTTTCAATAAAAAAGATGGAAATTTTATTGAAAGAAAGATTTTTCCAGTTTCTGTTATGTCGGTTTACTATCATTTCTTCTACTTATGCCTAATTATTTTGCAAAGATAAACTTACGTGATTAAGCAGTACCTACACGTATTTTCTTTCTCCTGTTCTGATTACACCTAGGAAGGGTCGGCACAACATGTGAATCATGTTGTAAATAGTATTTGGCTAGTTTTTTACGGCCTCTTGGCTTACGCAAAAACTGAGCAATAATGATGATCTGGAATAATTATCCGTGGGTCAAACAAATACTTGTCCCGTGTGGGAATCGAAACCATGACCCCAAATCAATACAACTGTATTACGCCAAGAAGTATCAAATCATAATAATATTAATTTTTGGACAAAGTTTTCAACAATCAATTTCCAGTTTACTCAAATGTGGTTCGTGTGGTTCTCAACATTGAGTACGGTTAGCGGTAACGAACTACCTACCATAACTAACAGGAAAAATTGTACACAATGAAACCATTGTATTTCATTTACCTTTTTATCTGATAACAGAACGACACAATATGCAGGGTATGGATGTCAAACAAGAAATTAAACGTGTTTTTTTGATTGGCAATTTTCTTTTCCGATCACATTTCATTGTTTATTATCTTTGAAAGTTTTTTAAGGTTTTGCGTCTTGAATGGCTCACGAAGGTAATATAATTGCGAAAACATTAATTGCGTGTGAAGGAAGGAATACAATTGCATTGATACATCGGACTCACGGTGGTAATCTCCGGAAATCCCCGAAGAAAATTCTATTATAAAAATTATGAAGAAGTCATTTTAACCGTTTTGTAAGGAATATTTGAGTTACTTCAATTTCGAACATGAACTGTATGAACATGAACTGTGATGTAATTACAACTAGTGACCGTTTTAGTTGAGGTGTACGTGCTCTAAGGGCCAGTCAACTCAGAAGCGGTCGCTCACGGGCGGGCATTGAGCGGGCGCGAGCGTCCTCTGGCGCCGCGGTCTGCGATGTCGCAGATAGAGGGCGCCGGCGTCGGCCCGCCGATGTATGATACAACCGCATTACCATAGAGTTCGCACCGCGCGCGCTCATTATCAGCGATTAACAATGTCACTAATGTACCTTGTAAGTGAATAAAGCGAGGTCCAATCGCGGAGTACCATGTTTCGGTTGCCGCCCCGAAAATTATTAGGATGACGTATGTCCGGACGTTCTTTTCCTTCGATCGTGTGTACTTTTTTCGAGATCGGATCCATCGTAACAAATTTCTAGTAAAGATTCTCATGTTTTCTCTCTTCAAAATATACAAAAAGAAAATCAGGCATTTAACATAATTGGTAACTCATAAATAATGAGTTAAATCGTTTTTGTACGAAATAAAAAGTGAAAGGGGCTTATTATTTTTTTTTATGTGAAAAGTTGCCAAGCGAGCGAAAGTATTATACTTCCATTTTACGCCAGTCTTCTGTGAGGTCGTGGTACTTACCGGGACGAGCCTATCCATTCGTGCAACAGCCGAGGATGCTGCGTGGCCCTAGCATCTATCCAATTAAAAACAAACATATCGTTTAAAGTGATTTTCTCCCCGAAAGCTTCAATGAAATCAATCAAACAATATTACCTGACATGGAAGTAAAAAAAAAACGATCTATGAGTAAACAGTATATCTTAATTAACTTAAGAGGATCAAATAAAGGACGCTACCGAACTGTCACAATAACACATGTAATAACAAATACCCGTGGGTAATGTCCTCAGTTATAGGAGTAAGCCGTCCGAATTATACAAATGGCCCGCGCCTAACGGCACCAACATATTGGCATATGCTCGTGACTAGTTTACGAGTGCTACGACATTGCATATTAATTGGTGTCGCTATCGAACCGCGCATCGGCTCCGACCTAGCTTCCACACCGACTACATGCCCACAGTTCGCATTTGTAAGCACTACGTCTACACTGGAGTTTGCGTGTGTGCGTGGAGCTTTCCACCCCCTTAGCCTCCCCCTCCCAGTCAGGGGCATGATAGGTACAGGCGATGTGATGATATATCAGCTTGCAAAGGGGATGCTTGTTTCAAACGTATTAAACATTGATAACGTCGACTGATGCACTATGGCTTTGATAATGTGCGGATATCCGCTTTGTATCAATAAATTTTGAGTAATAAATTTAATGCTCCATTGCAAAGGTTTGTCCCGTCTCGTGGGTTTTTCTGACTTAAAAAAAGGCATATGCCATATTTAATAGTTTTAACGTGCAGTATTAAAAAAGTAATAAGGACAGTGTAAAGTTTCAGATTCATTCCACGCTCTTATCGCTCAAGCGTTATATTGCATTCAGGAAAGCCTTTGTCTTTGTCATGACGATTGATTGCATTAAGTTTAAACTGCCTTAATACCTTCGCAGGATAGCGGCGCAAACTTTAACTATGAAATAAATTTGAATTATTTTCAAATGCACGCTTATTCAAATTAGGGAGATTAAAAATACCGCTATAAAGGATGTCACTTAACTCAAAACATGCAGTCAGTGCGAACCGACTAGAAGCCTAGCTCACGCTAAATCCACGGTAGCGTCCGTCGATAGAGTGAGCGCATTCTAATATGCAAATGTATTTAAATGCCGAGCCCTCTTCATTACGCCGGTATCGATCTTAGATACACAATTTGTAACCCGATAGCTTCCCAAAGTACGACTAATCTGTCGCCTCCGCCTTATACTGCAGATGTTTATTTGAACAGAATTTTTTATTTCCACTTTACTTTCTAGTGATTTTCGCTCATAGTTATTAACATTAATGGCACAAAGTAAGAGTGAAATTATATATTACATAACACTTATCTACAACGCAGAAGATAAAAAAATATTTTCTATTTATGCCACCTAAATAATTTCCTTTAGGAGTAGCACCTGGGGAACCGAGCTTTGCTCGGTTTTTTTTAAATCGTGTAGTTTGGAAATAAAAAAAATAAATAAAATGATCTGGTATAGAAAAAAAATTAAAAAAATAGGTGTGTAAATGATAATGATCCAAACCGCTGCCGTCTGTTTTGGGGCCGCCCGATTACCGACCGAGCTATTATAACGTTTCTTTTTGCGGCGAAATTTACTGTCATATTCAAATGATATTTTTCATTCCCTGAAAACAAGAATAAAAGGACATTTTCTAAAAATGAAATCTAGCTAGATCGATTTTTGATAATTGCTCGTTTAAAGGATAATATATATATATATAGGCGTATCTTTATTCTGTGTAGGAATTAATACATAGTACTTTTTATAATATTCTCTAATAATTCTTTTTTATAAATATCTATATGATCTAGAACCAAAAAAATTGGGAGTGTAGTTTTAAGCGTTTAATAACCACGTACCTACTACACGATGAAGTAGTATAGTAGTAATTATACAGAAGTAAAAAATAAATATGAACTGAAATAATAGGGTTATATCCAGAGGCTTCAGTACGTACTAATCAGAATTTAATTTATTTATGGGACAAGTGAGAGCCGTGATAGCTCATTGTCCGGGCGCCCGCTTTTGATCCCATATATTCGAGTAACCTCGAGTTCGATCCCCGATGCCGGCAACCAACGATTTAATTTTAAAGTACTGACTTATCTTGTGCTCAGCGGTAAAGGAAAACATCTTAAGGAAACCTGCAAATTTTCCCAACAAAAATAAAAAAAGTTGAATACGTGGAATTCCGCCAATCGGGCTCCGCAAATAATCGGGCTGCGTTGTGAACCACGTCCAAATACCCTATGTACAGCGGACATTTTTTTCCCAGCTATGGGAATTATATAGGCTGTTACTTTACTTTATAATAAAAATATTTCTCTTTAATAAAACTACAAGACTAACCTTCAAATGAAGTAACTGATAATTTCTTGATATTTTTTTAAATTGAAAACTTTTCTAACTTGTTTACCCTTTATTAAGATAAAAGATTTTGTTTTGCTTTCAGTGAAGAAGGACTATGTCCAACTCCTAGGCCAAAGGATCTAATACAAGTACATTATTATTAAAAAAAATACAAAGCCGATTATCTCACTCACTACACACTTTCTATTTCATTTTCTGGGAGTTCCATGCAAAAAGAATTCATAGATTTCTGTGGTAACAATCACAAAAAAATTATTAAGAAATAAATAGACATTACAAAACCATGAACCTCCTCCTTTTTTGAATTTATTTCAAGATATTAACACTTTCACAGTCTACATGTACACATGTGTCTTCACTTTGAGGGACAACCTGTCGCTGAAACCGGCAAACTAGCCATGCAGACAATTTTTCGTGCTATTTTCTGCGTTGGATCAAATAAGCTTACACCACAAGTGTGTGTAGAGGCATCAATAATCAGTCTTGCGAATATCGGTGTTCATTGTTAAGGATATCAGCAGGCTTATGAAGATGTAACCAGTGCTCGGTAGTCGTTAGTATTCCTAAGATTATCCTGCAGTTCGCAATCAGATCAATCTTAAATATTTATTGCACATCGTCTATTGGCAAACGTTGCTGGTTCAAATTAGTATGACGATTGCCGCGCTGATGGTGAAGAAAATTGTAAGTAAAGGCAAACGTGGGTGGGCTACCAGTACTTGATTAAGCCTTGATGAATAATAATATGACTTCACCAATGACTTCGTTTGCAGGTAGAAATAGAAAGTTTATGATATAAAATTTTAATTGACCTGACATTTCTTGAAACTAGTAGTCTACACGATATAAACTCATAGATTAACATATCTATAACCGGGATTATTCAAGATATATTTAATTTTGATTAATCCAGGTTTAAGAAATTTAAAAAAGCAGCACCATTCACCGTTCCATAATCTAATAAAGCGGCATCAAAACACGAAGAAGTAAAGACTACTCGAAAATAAAGATTTAAAATATATAATTGTGAAACACGGACTCTCTATTATGTTTAACATATATAATATTTAGTCGCAGATGATTTCCTACAGTATTAATTTGTCCTAAAACATTTAAAAGAATTTTTAACTTGATATTTCTTATAATATCCCTTGTAAGATGCAGACTACTCCAATAGTTTGAAAACTGTCTATGTAATTAACATTTAAAATTAATTTCTAATTGTGGTAGAGCCACTCAACACTTTTGCGTTTCGCCTGATGAGTGAGGTAGCCAGAGCCCACTTTATTTAAAGGTGGCAACGCATTTGCAACCCTACGCGTGTTGCAAAAGTTCATGGGCGGCGTTTATCAATCAACATCAGGTGAACCGCCAGCTGGTTGCCACTATCAGACATAAAAAAACCTACGACGCGCCTCACTATGAACCTACTAAGATCTTTCAATCGGTCATGAGCCGCAAATAACTTATTAATATCAATATTTCAATTTGTAGTTTCCATAATAATAATCACTATCATGTGATATTGTCATCAAGAGCAAGTTACATTCATTCTTCAACGTGGATAAATTTCGTTTACTTATATTTTCAAAAAACTGGGTTAATTACTTCTATCCTAGTTTGTCTATTGCCAAATGCACCTTCCTCTTCCGTATCGAGAATCGATTAGCAGCCAACTAATAAGTAACCTACAGCGAAGCTAAAACAACCAAGAGGCCTCCCCCACCTGTCGTATCTGATAAAAGTGTTTTATTTAAATTTCTTAGCCGGAGACTCAAAAACAAGCAGAAAGTTGCATTTGTGTCTTATTAAAAGAAATTTATAGTTGGAACATAGTAGCTGATTGACCTCGGTCACGGGAAGGATAACTGGTTGGCATTAATGCAAAAGCTGAACATGCTTATGCAAAATTCAAATTTTGTGTCCAACTAGGATCTCTCAATCATTTTAGCAGGGCTATAAAAACATACTTATTTACACAATGTACATGTATACATATATGTTAAGATGTAAGCATTTTCAATGAAATGCACATACAAAAGAAATATAATAATTAAAATAGGATTTTAATCAGCTTCATGTGCTTGTTTTTGTGAAAATACCCTATCCAATATAACCTAATAAACTATACAGTTATGTGTAAATCTATAACTTATTTAAACTATATTAAAATCTTTACTCTATTATGATAATTCTATTTATTAGTCACCTTAAAATCCCTTAGGTACAAACTTCTAAAAAGATGCAAATGCGGAAGGGATCCCTAGGAAAACGTATTCTTAATTCTGTATAAACTTTTAAATTGACCTGAATGTAGCTGTTGACTACGAATTTTACTAATCATTGGATTTACTAATTGCTTGCCATTGGATTTTCTCAGGTAGCTGTGGAGTCGATATCTGGTAGCTTAATATAAAATTGTTTTCGCCCATTTACGATGAATAATATTCTCAATAATTTATGGTTCATAATTAATGAAATACTGCTATATAGAACACTATCCTTGTAGTTCTGCATGTTCAATGCATCGCTTCAACGTATTTTAACGTACAATAACATAATAGACGAGTAGTAATAAAGGCGTTCGTATATCGTTTTAATATTTCCATCGCGCAATTTGTCAAATGAAATTACAAATTTAGAACGAGACAAGTTAATTTCGATATGTGCAATACTCGTAACATTAAAATACAATGCTCTATAAATAAAAGCCTCGATTACGCCGTGCTCAAGAACAGAATGTGTTGCAAGGTGCGCAGGCGCACGTGCCCGTCGCCGGGGGCTCCTCATTGTATCAGCAGCGGATTCAAATTTGTGTCATACACCTTTAAGTTTAGGAAACAAAGCATTTAATAAAGTGGACTCTGGACCCCCGCGTGGGGGTTTGAATATTATTCCAAAGGAAATGGGTGTTCGGAACGATATCACCTCGGGGTTAACGATTACCGGTGCGCGCTTGCGCTACAGATGGTAGGATAAACGGACGTTTGTTTCCGCAGTGATATCTGAATTAATGGCCGCATGAAATTCCCAAAAGGTGTTCATTATCATGATTTATGCAAGATAATATTTCTTGAGGTCGTGGCCCGGTGATTAATTAACGGGTCGGCCGATTCGGGGGTGCAACTGGGTTTTATTTGTTTAGCAGCTCGAAAAAGCCGGCGTTCCGTGAATCGTTGCCCATGCGGAGGCTGCGTCGGCGATGTGCGCGCCATCTTGCGCGTGTGAAGCGCACCGTCCATCTCGCGGCTCGCCCGCTCACTGAGTACATTCCCGTGTACGTTTTTACACCTATTATTTTATGTGTCGGCGAGTAAAGTTCGGTACGTGAGTTATAAACTCGCTCGGGCCTCTCTCGCCCCTACTTTATAGGTATTAACGACTTGTCCGAGAGTTTTCTTATAAATAAATTTGAAGGGTAACAAGGCTCGCTTTTGTCGGATTAGTAGAGTGGATCTTGTTTCACTTTGTTGCGGAGAGTCTACTATCTTTTTGTTAAACCGGAAATCTCTGAGAAATATATGCCCTTTAACTTAATTTTTAAATAAAGCACATTTTAATATGAGCGGCATAACTCAATTTGTATGTAATAAACACATCATTTCTGTTAATGAATCTCCTTTAATTTTTTTACTACAGTAGATTTCTATGCGAAGGCATTTTATGGAGGTTTCCTTTTAGGAGTGGGCAATGAATGAAATAAAATCTGAGACTCACGTGACATTAGGCCATAAGGCGCGGGGTCGCACTATAAAAACGGACATATGGAACTTAGAGCACCGCCTGTAACATATCAGAGCAGTAAAGTAAATGCAGTAGAAAGCCACGCGAACGTGCCTCCGGCAGGAGCCATCTGTGGAGAAGTGGAAATATCGAGTTATATTTAACACAAACAGCAGAAAAATTTAATATAAAATTGAATGTACATGTCGAAGTCGACGAAAAAACTGAAATTCCCTAAGGGATCGACATGGGGAACAATAACTAAAGGTATTTTTAAAACGTATATTACTATTACAGAAGTCAATTTATGACTGCACTCTCGTAGTTTCAAATATCTTTAATGGAGCAAGAGTGAGACGTTCACGTCTTCCCCCACAAACCGCATTATAATGCCATCGCCGAAAATAACTGGACATAAATATAAAACAATGTGAAACCACTTAAAGCGAATAAAATACACGTCGACTTCAACTCTGTAAAATGAATTTATTAATAACGGAGACAATGAACGTCTGAAACGAACGCTTCACTTTTTTTTCCTCGTATTTTTAATTGTCCTCCGCACGGCGGAAAATACACATTAGAAGACGAAAATAAACCTCGGATCATATTCGACATACGCTGTAACGCGTTCGCGCACACTTCATTATTTCCCGGGCGCTTTTATTCACGCAACTTTCGACAATCGCATGTTAACGTGTATTAAAACTGTCACCAATTAAAAATATTCCCTCGGGCACTGCAATGTGCCCGGGAGATAATTATTGAATTGTAATTTTGCGATGTGTCGCTAACTTATTGCAGAGAGTGCAGTTCTTAGATGATATCTTCGGCGTAATTAAAAATCTTGTCGTGACATTCAGAGCCCCTTCCCGCCCCCGCACTCTTCTGCCTCCTTCAATATTGTTGGCGATTGAATCGCAATTAAATTGGACGAATCAAACTATGCTTTATTAATAGGGACTGATAGTTCAAAATGGCGAATGTGTGTATCGCTCGAACGAATCGAACGTGCTCCCGTCGAAATGCCAGACATTTTATTTATTCGCCTTAATTATGTATCTTGTCTTAATTTACGATTGGATCATACGATAATCTGAAATGTAATTTATTGTGGATGCTTAGGTATTCCGATCATTTCCATAACGAGATTTAGGATTACCGGGAACGATCTCGCGGCCGCCGCGCGTGAAGAGCGAATGCATTATCGACGTTTGTTCGTATATTGCAATTAAGTGAAACTGCGGACGGCGGGAAGGGGCTGCGGCGGCCGATGTGCGGCCCTCGATAGCGTCATCGCGTACAATTTTGTTATGCGACGCCGCCGTGGCATGACGGCCGACGTCGCGATACCACCGCGGCACGATAGCCCTAATGAAAGTAATGGAACTTTATTAGCGATACCCTGACGACTCCTCGCCGGGAGTAAACGGGCATTTACATACCGCAATAGATGCGATGCCGCAGCGAAACGTGCCAAGAGAACAAAGAAAGCCACATTTGCTAATTACCTACGGTCTGCTTGCCCGCGTCGTGCACACAGACGCCGGGTCGTGAGCTCCGGAGATATGACGATAACACATTCATAAATAATTAGAGCTAAATTTTCTCATTTGTAAGACGGTAGTCATGATATTTGGTAGCTGATCCGCGCGTTCTCGGAACTCAGGAGATCTAGATAAATGCTGTAAGACACGCTTGTGGCTTTTTTCTTCCAACGAGAGTGAACTGCAAAACTTAGATGTCATTCGGCTCTAATAGTTTTACCTCGCATTACAAGCGGTTCTGGTTCAAAAGAAAAAAAGAAAGAGAATTTTTCTTTGAAAAAAAAAATGTTGGAATTCTAAATGATCCCAGCAATTCAATCTTTCATTGTTGTTGATAACTCTACTATTTGAAGCTTATACAAAAAAAAAACATTGTTTTTACTTGGATGACAATATATATTTTTTTTAAAAAGTCAATATCCAACTAAGAAGTAAAAATAAAACTTAATAGACAGTAAATTAACACACTGCTACTTGGGCGAAGAACAGTGCTACTCTTTTCCTTCTAGCGTTTACAGATTTCGTACGGTCAGAGCTTCCCTACAAAAGAGCCTAAATATCTACTTCCTTTAGTACCACAAATAATAACTAGTGTTGTGGTGCACTGTTTATTAAAAAAGGTCTCATTTGCCGTCATTAATTTGTGTGTCAATTAAAAAAAACAGTGACATCATTTTCAAACACCCTAGTAGGTAAAGCGTATAATTAAATTAAAAATGTCGTTAATCATTTGAGAGATAAAAGGTCTTCGGTAATAGAAAGTAAAAGCATAGAACGAATGCTTCTCAACTTTTGCGGAGTCACTCTTTATTGATTGGAATTTCGAGCGTAGCCAATTGTTATGGGTATTCAAAAATTATCGGCACCAAATATCCGCTCGGCTAATTAGCTTTAATTTGATCTTTTATTTTTTCCATGTATTCCACGTACTTCAATCAATGACAACTTCCTTAACTACGGCACAATGACATAGATACATTTTATTTCGAAAAATTAAAAAGTCATTCCATTGATTACTTACTCAAACCTTGTAGAAAAGCGCCTGGCAAATTGATGAATGTTCTTTTGGTAATTAAAAAAGAAATAACTCCTACTTTATTAACATACGAGTACATACTTGAAAAATACTTTAATAAAATTGAAGAAATCAATGTAGGTACAACTTATCTTGTTCCCAAAACAAACTACTTATGCATTTTGTTCCATATAAGTATATCTTGATGTAATGTAAACAATACAAAGGTGTGTTTTGTAATCTACTTATAAAGTTCTCTTAACTAACACATTAACTAAATTAAACCACTAAAAAAAAGATAAAATTTGGTGAAAATTTATTTGAAACAATGCTGGATAATTTCTATAAAGAATGAATAAGTTATAAAATAAATAATAATAAATAAATATTTTAGGACACATTTTTACACAACGTTCTCTAGTCCCAAACTAAGCAACGCTTGTACGAGATAACTGATAAACATACTTAAACATACTTTTCGTTTGTAAATAAATACAAATTATTCATATATAAACATTAATTTGTTATTTATAATTTTGATCACTAATATTTATTATACACTTATAACCCTTTATAAGGAGTGTGGAATATATCTTGAATATTCAAGAATTATTGTATACTAAACATATTCTACATAACCTAATTGAAAGCCATTAAAATCGCTACGTAATAACCTATCTGTCTGGGCTTCTGTTCATGAAATGACAAAAGGCAAAAGAATAAAAAGTAAATACGTCTATTATCGGAAAATCATTTAAACATAATTCGTTGAAATCATTCGGCGTAACTCAATAGCGGAAATCGAATGAAGTTATGTTTTTTATAAGACAAAAAGTTGAGTAATCTCATAAAAACGATATCTAGCGCATAAATTAAAGTTTCCGGTTACTAACGACAGAGTCAAATCAAGCATAATTATTCCAATAGTGATCGATCGACTTGATTTTTGTAAAAAGTATTAACAGGATATACAATGATATATATAAAAAGTTATGTCTCGTTACATTTTATTTTCTAAGTTATAGTATTTTCTAATGTTACAAAAGCATAACTTATTGCCTATATAGCGAAATAGCACTTTGACATACTCCTTGACGAAAAACCTTGACCTTAGAAAAACGTTACAATAATTATTTTGAAAAGTGTGCATTGTGAATATTTTGCCCTCTTCTAAACGGCTGCTAACAAAATACTATTTATTCACTTATTCAATATTGTTTATTTTTTAGTAATAGTGGTGCAAATAACTTTGTTTATACTATTTAGGTTTATTTTTATTGAAAAGTAGTCAAGTGAGCAGGTGGTCCACCGAAATTTAAGTGGATCCCTCCGCCCATGGAGATCTACAGCAGTAGAGTATTTGTCGAATAGTAGAAGCTGTTGCGTATCCCTATCATAGTAGATATTTGTTCCTAGTTAGTATTAAAATTTAATATACAAAATTTGAAAATATTATTCTAACACTATCAACATATTTTGATAAATGATTGTTGAGGCTATATCCGCAGCGTGGTCTGATGCCTCAAAAACTGCAAGTTTATATTGAAAATTACTTCGTTAACAATCAAACTAAATAACTAGTACTACTTGTAAGTAAATTTTCCGTATTGTAAAACGATCTGGTCTATTTCAGAGTCAGCTGCTACATCCGACGTCAGAACGAAGTACCAAAAATATTACTGCAAAACAAAACCATAAGAAGGAGACTAAATACGACCGCATAAAAACATTATTGCGTGACAGGTGCCCTAATTTAAATTTAAACATCTAATTTTTATCTAGAACCTGATGATAGAAGGTAAAAATATAGAGAAGAACCGGTAAGAAATAAGCGTTGTCATGATTGTTGTTTTTTATTATAACGGTATTAAGTAAATCATCAATAACATGTTTAAGACTTTTTTAACAGTTAGTCAGATCCTACAGAGTTACCAGGATCAGGAGTGGTCATGATCCACCTATGTGTATACCTGTGATCACACTAGCAGGCAATATTCGATATCCTAATAAAATATTTTTGGAATTTATGCACAAAGGAAATGTATACAGCGTGTCGTTACAACCGCAACAATAAATGAGCACACGTCTAACGCTGCTTGCCATTATCAAAAAAAATACAAAATTAAAAAATAATTAAAAAAAAATGTTTTTCAAACAAACTAATTAAGTAAAAAAGAAACAAAATTTGTAACATCCCATACAACTACAACTGACTGATTCATACATTCAGAGACTTTTTCATTCGTTGCCACAGCGTTGCAATACAAGCCTCTCCTTCTAACAGTATGTTTTGTCTCTTTTAAATTTATTCAACCTATTCATATGCTTTGTGACCTTTATAAATGAACTTTGCGTTACAGTTTTATACGTAAGAGTGCTCTAAAATTGTTTGTTTTGGAAAATTTTATAACTCGGTAAATATTGATGTTTAAAGAATGTAAATGTTTAATACAATTTTAAAAAGTTATCATAATTTTAAAAAGTTATCTATATGTGTGTTCATTTAATGTCGCGGTTGTAACGACACGCTGTATATCCCGATCCCTGGTCTATTATTTCATCCTACGAAAGAGGAAACCAAACAGAGGAAGTTAGCCCTGAGATATTACCTATACTACCTGAGATAGATGACAGAACAATAACACAAAGCTTAACCTTAACATTAATCAACCGTGTAAAAAATCCGGAGGCGTTCAACAGCCCTCACAAGTCCTCGCAGTGTTGGAAATGCAAAAATAATTCTGTATGTACAATGAAAAAATACTCACAACCAAAATATAATCATCATTAGAAGACGTTAAATCTGTCTAGACTGTAACACACTTCCGACGCCTATACAATCACTTTCACAGTCTATAAACTTTATTACCGTTACATAGCGCCATAGCATGGCTTAATTAGATATACGATAACACGTGAAATTTTAAAGCCCTCGTAGCATCAATTACTTTATATCACGTCATATTCATTCCACGATGCATTTGCTTTGATTAGTGGAATGCTCTTTAAGGAACAAAGTGCCATTAAAATAAATATACAACTATCCGAAACAATTTGAAGTGTTAAGTGACTGGTGGCTATCAAAAATTACAAGATAAGTGGACAATGCTTGCTTGGTGACTTATGAAGTGATTAAAAGAAAGTAGCGTCAGCAGATTCAGTGTATACATATTAAATAATATTTTTTTTCCAGTAATTTAATAACTTACATAATTTTATGCATTAACACGTGTTCAAAATATGCCTCAAAGGTTATTTCGTATAACCGCGATTGAATGTAAATTTTGTTATACACCTTGAAATTACAATTCATGAATAAGAATATTTTACGAGTACCACGTGCATTCTTTTCATAATTTATTAAACTTAAAAAGTTTTTTCAGCAATATCTGTTTCCGTTCTTATGATGTCACATAATATGAAACGTATATTCTCTTGGAAGCATCTAAATTGTTTCTTACAATTGACGTATGTGACCCACAGATAGTTGTTCCGAATCTGGGTGTTTGTTCCAAGGAGGGTTGACGTCCTTAAACCACTTACAACATGAGTCATATGTTATGCCGACCCCACCTAGCTGGGAGAAGGGCAGGAGGATGATGATGACGATGATGACGTTCAACTATATTTATATACGTGCTTACACTTTTTTGTCTCTTTAGTTGGAAAAAAAGTCTCTCATAGCTTGCTTTTCATATTCATAATTGACACTTACTTATCTTACTAGGAGTACACAGAGGGTAATTCACGATTTTCCTTAAATGCATTATAAGTAATGTTTAACGGCGCAACACTAAATGGTGTAAAATCTAACATAGTGCATCGACCGTCGGTACACCGTCACAGTTAACGGAGCGCAGATAACCGCAATCAAGTAACAGCCGTCTGACATCTTTATGATGTTTCAAAAACCATTACTAACGACACCTTTTTAGTTA